CTGGGTATTCATTGTCTTTTACTGTATGATAGATTTTGTTCCATGGGTGTTTCTTTAATGGCTGTCTGCCCCCCTAGTATGGAAACGCCAAGAGGAAATGCACCAGGTTGACTTTGACCGCTCATGTCCCCAACACATCACCTCCACTGAGCATATTTAAGTGTTCGCTAAATATTTGTGACTTGGATGGGTGGATGGGTGGGTGGATGGATGGGTAGATGGGTGGATGGATGGGTGGTTTCATGAATCCATGCATTACTGGGGCAACCTGTGCGGTGCAGAGCGAGGACCCCGTGAATAAATGCTTCTAGGTAGCTTCACTGTTTCTGACCTCACAGCATCAGGCTATTGCACACATGCCCAGCTTTGTCTGGGTGCTCGGAGCTATACTTACTCAGTGCCAGGTGGTGATATGCCTGCCTGGTTCCTCCGACTCACCCCTGAGAACAACACCCCTTGAATAAAGTCCCAGTTACTCTCATACCCCATGTCACTTTGAAATCTCTATGCCTCTCTGAACTGCTGGTGGGCAGGTAGCTACACAGCATTCCTTGATGAGCCCCAAGTGCCCAGTGCCGTGAGTGCCCAAAACCAACACTTTTTTCAATCAATCAAGATGATCTTTTCTCAACACAGACGTAGGGACTACAACTCAGAATTCCACGAAACCATGTTGGGGCAGGAAAAACGGATTCAAGTTCATATTTAAAAAGTGAAAAGTTAACAGCTGGATGGTATATTTCAGTCAAGCGCTTCGGATTTGCGGAAGGGCTTTCCTTTCTATAAATACGATTATTAGTCGCCATGATTATAATAACCGGGGTGTTGGCACAGAGCCATGCCTCCCCCGCAGGGTGGGCTGGGTAGAGCCGGGTATTCCCTCTGCTGACTTGCTTCACTAGTTGACTAACAGACCTTATTCCCTGGCCAAGTGGATCATATCCTGCCAACGCCAGCTTTCCAGGGGAAGCAGGAGTAAGCGCTGTGGGGTCCTGGGGGAAAAGCACCAGGCACTTGCTGCTGCTTTGACAGTTGAGGCCCCAAGAAGAGCTGGCAAACAAGGGGAAATGAAACATTTGAGTGGTTGCAAAAAATTCCGTGGGAAATCCCCCCTGGTAGTATTTATGTGCGCTGGCTGTGACAAGGGGAGCTAGGGGCTTTCGATTTCAAGGGTTCCTGAGCAGACTACGGTGGTGTTCCGAGCTGGCAGTCCCGGGAACAGTTCTCCTGGGCCACAAAAGATCAGTCTGTCCAGGGACGACTGGGCCACAGGTATCAAGTTGGCCATGAACCGCAAGCTTGTTCAGAAGCTAACCCGTGCTTGCAGAGCTGGGTTCTGCTCTGAAGACATATCCTTCTCTGTTGTTACCCTAGGTTTTCCCTGGTCTCAAGGGAGGCCAGGGAGGTGTTTTCCTCAGACTCACTCCACCTGCAAAATTGTGAGATCCTGTAGGAGCCTCCCATGGACTTGAAAAATCCAAAATCAGGGCTTCGTCTGCCTTTTCCTGTTAATATGGAATTTCTTCCTGTTTTCTCTGTTCCCATTTACAATTGGCCTGTTGTGCCTCCCACCTTCATTTAAAGAATAAAATGGACTGAAATTAACCAATCCTTGTTTTGCTTTCCTTAGAACTGATAACCATTCAAAATACTTACCATTATTGCTCATGTCTTGCTGCTGCTCATGTGATATATGTGTTTATAGATCTGCTTAAAAGTAAGGTTTATAGATTTTTAGAGACATTTAGTAGATGAGAAAACTGAAACCTAAAGAGATGAAATAAATTGCCTGTGTATGTTAGTCATGAGGTTTCAGTTGCCAAGTGACAAGCTCCTAACTTAAAAGGAGGTAGGCCAGATCAAAAATATAGTGGATTATTTAAATGAGAAGCAAGTGCTGTGTTAGCTTCAGGTATGGCTGGATCCAGGCCCTCAATGCAGTCTTTAAACATTTGCCTCCCTCCATCTCTTTGGCTCTGCTTTTCCTTGGATTTGTTTCCTTTTTAGATCGGCTCTTTCTACCTGTTTTACATCTTCTGGGAGTCAAATCCAGGTTTTCTTCTGGTTGCCTCTGTAAAAGTTCCAGAGTTAGGTCTGCTGGGCTTAGATAGGTTAAGTTGACCATTACTCAATGTCTCCAGCAAAAGGGGTGCAATAATCTGATTGCCCAGACCCCAGTCACATGCTCACTGCTGAAGCCTAGCCAAATCAAAGACTGCAGTGAGAGCGGGTGGTTCCCCTAAGGAATATTGGGGTGCTCTCATCAAAAGAATAACAGACTGGGTGGGCAGAAGGACCTCATGACCTTTCATCCCCTGTCACACTCCCGTAAGGGGCAGGAAGGCCTGCACACACATCTGCCCTCCACTCCTCCATGTTTCTCGAAACCATCTCGGCGCCGCCCTGGGGGGCCCCCTCATGCTCTATCTTGCTCTGGGACTCTAGCCCCACCCCTGCCACACAAGTCATTGTAGTCAGCAGTTTTCAGTGTGAATCTTGGGAGCAGCTGGAGGGAGGAGGACAGGGGCTGGGCACTGGGGCTGGGCGCTCAGGGTCGGTGCCATAGGAGTCCTGCCCGGAGTCCTGCCCGGATTTCCATCACGCAGCAATTCTTGTATCCATTTGTTGCTCGTTGTCCTTACCCACATTTATTTAAACAAACTGCCTCAGATTTTTAAAGCTTGAAAAGTCATGGTCTTTCTGCAACCCTTGCCCTCTCACCTATTCATCAGCGAAGAACAATGGCTCGGAAAAAGGCAGGAACTTGGCCAAGGCCATGTAGGCAGCAACATAGCGCTGAGTGAGTCTAAGAACTCACATCTCTGGACACCAGATTCCTGAAGGGTCCGCTTGCAGCTGTGCAGGTGGGTTTGCTACCCCTGAGCAGAGACCACCACATGCACCCCTGCCTTACATCCCTGATGTATTAGCCAAGGATGCAGGTTTTAACACTAGGGAGCAGCCTTCCAGAGCAGAGCAGAAAGAAAGGATCATTGCAGTTTTTTTTGTTCTAGTCTCCAGGTGCTGTCAGCCTCTTTGAATTCATTCTGCAGGTAGAAGCGTGGGAGAGTAAAGAAAAACAGCTGGATTCTTGCACTCAGAGCTTGCATCCCCGTTCCAGAAGAACGTCGTAAGCCACGTGTGTCCTTTTAGGATGTTTACAAACAACTTCTCTGCTGTGTCTTCCCGTGCCTGCAAGGCTGGTCATGCAATACCAGCCCTGTGGTCAGTTTCAAACGCACATTCTGCAGCGCCCATCCCTCTGCTCGTCAAAACTGACATTTGCGAGTGTTTGCAGCGTGCCTGCAACTGTGTGCTAAACACTGGGCAGATCCTGTTTCACTGAATCCTCCCAATAACCCCCTACAGTAAGTACTATTATTATCCTCATTTTATGGGTGAGAAAATGAAGGTGCAGAGAGGAATTAATTTCTCCCAGGTCCTCAGCCAGGAGCAAAGTCAGGCAATCAGAGTCTAGCGAATGAGCACTTAGTTCGATAGCTGTACTGAAGGTTCCACAAGGACACAGACAGAGAAGATGGAGACACAAGGAGGATGCAGCCCATCACCTCACGTGACATGGACAGACAGACAGTTCTCTGCTTCTATCAGTCCCCGTTTTCCCCACCCCGGGGCTTCCAGCTGAGCCTGCTGCTGGCTGTGTTTTGCTTTTTCTTTCTCTCCTGCCATCTCTTGCCTGGTGTCTTCGGCAAAAGCATACGGGATTTCAGGGAGAGAACTATTATATTACCCTGTGGGCCTGGCTTAGAGGTGTCAGTGGAACACGGGTAAGTCAGGTAAGGAAAGGCACACGCTCCTATCACTCAGACTACCTTGCAGCAGCTTATTGAATTAGTGTGATTCTTAACATCTTCCACTTGGATCTCCTCCAGGCCAGCCAGCTGGCGCATTCAGGAAGACTCAGCTCGTCTTAACTCAATTAACTAAGCCAGGCTGAGCCTGGCTGAGCTGAACTCAACAAGTATTTCTCAAGCACTGAGCTGGCTGCAGAGGGGGGTGAAAAACAAAGGGCAAGATACAGACTGCCAGATTCGGCCCCTGAGGGGTTGCCTTGCTCTCTTATTGGTGATACGGTGCTGGATTTTCTAAGCATCCCCTTCCCAAATTTTCCCATATCTTCACTTGCTATGATTTAGGTCCTTTTTTTCTTTAAATAATCAACATTTTCTTTAAGTACATTAATTCCCTTCTTTAAACTTCAGTTCTTTTTTAGTTATGGAGCTAGAATTCACATAACATGAAGTGATATTTTAGTAGATTTGCAATGTTTTAGAAACACCCCATCCCGGTCTGGTTCCAAAAAATTTCCATTCCTCTAACATAAAAGCCGGTACCCATCAAGTGGTTTCTCCTCATTCCCGCTGCCTCTAGCCCCCCCACAACCACCCATCTGTGTTGTCTCTGTGGATTCTCTTACTCTGGACATTTCATATGAATGGATTCCTACAATATGAGGTCTTTCATGTCTGGGTTCTTTCATTGAGATAATGTTTTTGTGGTTCATCCACAACATAGCATGCTTCAGTACTTTGTTCCTGTTTCATGGCTGAATAATATTCCCTGGCAGGGATATGACATTTTTTCCATTGTACTATCCCGATGTTAATTTTCCGTTGTCATTAGGGTACAGTGTCAACATTTGGAGAAGCTAGAACGCATATAGTAATTATTTGCACTATTTTTTCAGCCTTTTTGCAAATCTGAAATTATTTTAAAGTGAAAAGTTAAAAATAAAAGGAAGGATATATCTTGTCCCTGAGACTCATCTTCAGACCCATCACAGAGAATCTATCATGGAGGCAGCCAGGAACTTAGAAAGTGGACCCAGCCTGGGGCTGAGACCACATTTTGTTTATCACTCATCTGTTGATGGGCACTTGGGCTGTTTCTACCTTTGGGCTATTGTAAATAGTGCTGCTAAATAAGTTTGTTTTCTTTATTTATTTTTTAAATTGAGATATAATTGATGCACAAACTGTAAAAATATGGATGTCAAAACTATAAAAATTTGCATGTCATTCTTTCACAGGGGCTTGCTAGTCTCTGTATCATTCCAATTTTAATCTATGTGCTGTTGAAGTGAGCACTAGAGGACTTATTTTAAAAGGGAAATTTACATCACTCCTGTGAACAGGAAATCTGTATTTTTTTAAACACGATATAATATAGAACCATTAGTAAATAGCTCACCTTGGTAGCACCCACGATCACCCCGGGTACTATTACGTGCAGCAGTGAGAAGCCAAGAATGGGCTCTTCAAGTGTGAATCCCGCCTTTGCCAGCTGGGACTCTGGGCAAATGCCCTTATCGGCTCCCTACCTCCACTTCCTCACTTGTAAAATGATGATACGTAGAGTTGCTTCTTCCCGGAGTTGTTGTGAGAATTAAAACCATGAGCAAAGTGCTCAGCCTCATACCAGGCACATATAGTGGCCACCCCCACCCCCAATCTGAGAGGGAGTGCATTTCAAGACCCCAGAGGATGCCTATAACTGTGCATAGCACTAGGCTCTATGGGTACTAAGCTTTCTCCTCAATATACTCCCTCTGATAAAATTTCATTTATAAATTAGGCATCGTGAGATCATAACCACAACGATCATAAAATAGAGCCATTATAATAGACTATAACACAAGGTATGTGAATGCGAGCTCTCTCTCTTTCTCGCTCCCAAAATAGTGTACATAATATTTTTGGACTGAGGTTGACTGTAGGTAACAAACCATGGAAAGTGAACACTTGGATCAGGGGGTGACTGCAGTCAGCACCCCGTATGTATGTGAAAGCTGGAAGTAGGAACACACATCATAAACACGGGGTGACAGGAGCTATAAATAACAAAGCCGGTCTTCCCGGTGAGCCAGAAAGAGGGTGAAGAACCTCCTGTTATCTCATGCAACCCCCCCAACATTCTTCAAGCTAACTGTTACTACTCCCATTTTGAAGATCAGAAAACAAGGCAGAAAGAGGTGGAATCAGTAGTTGAAGTTCACGCAGAAAAGCTGAACTCTGGGAAAGTTAAAAGGCCGTATGGAAAGTAACCAAGAGTCCCGGGAAAGGCTGGGCTTGAGCTGGCAGAGGTGATGAATTTGCAAAATGCAAACCTGGCCAGGCGGTTCTCGTAGCTCTTTTTTCATATCTGCCAAGATGTGTCTTTTCTAGTCGACTTACCTTTCACTGTTAATGCACGTCACCTGCCCTCTCCTGCGCCCCCTCACCCCCAGGTCCCTAAAACTTCCCCTTCTGCAATCTCGCCCCATCCCCCACTGCACCTGAGCCCTCCAGACTGTCGCTCAGCCTTCTTACTAATTATCTGCTGGTGGTGTGAAAATTAGCACGTCTCAAGTTCACATGTATCCATTATGCCTTCACAGGAAAGCTTCAGTGGCATAGGGAATCCTGTCCCACCCAAGGGTGACACTAGCATCCAGTTGTATTAGTTTCCTGGGGCTACAGAAACTTATTCCCACACTTGGAGAGGCCAGAAACTCAAAGTCAGGATGTCAGCAGGGACATACCCTTGGAAGGCTGGAGGGGACGGTCCTTCCTCATCTCGTCCAGCTGTAGGTGGCTCTGGGATGCCTTGGCTTGTGGCAACATCGCTCCAGCCTCTGGATGGTGCCCGCTGGGTGTTCCTCTGTGTGTCCTTCTCCATCTCTGACAAGGACATTTGTTATTGGATTTAGGGCCCACGCTTGTCCAGTAAGATCATCTAGATCCTTGCCTTCGTGACCTCCACAAAGACCCTTTTCCTCATAAGGTCTCATTCTAAGGCACCAAAACTCATTCTAAGGCATGAGTTTTGAGGGACCACTGTTTAATCCACTGCAGAGGTCTTCAAATAGAAGAGGTGCCTGATTGTCTCTGTAACACATTTATTGTGTATTTGAGCCCAGTGGCTGAAACACAGCAGGGAGTTATCAGTCAGTCTCACAAATCCCCTCCCCCATTCTTTGCGCCATCACTTGGGCCGCTTTCCGACCAGTTCCCAATATTCAAAAAAAATTCAGTTCAGTCAGGCCAGTTGAAAATATCCACCTCAGTCCCCCATGTTCTAACCCAGCTTTGCCCCAGACCTGAGAAACCTAGCACGGAGCCAGCCACCTCTTGCCTTGCTCTCCCCCATGTTTTAGGCCCCCCAAAGAGAATGATTCTGTGGGCAACCAAATTCAGCCAGTGTGCACTAAGCCAAGTTCCCCAGACATCTTCCACCTTCACGTTACACTCAGCTGACCTGCAGACTCACCTGGGACACACATCCAAGAGCAGGTGGTTTCCAAACTTACTCAGCACAGGAAACTATTTTTCCACAGAGTACTGTACAACCCTGGGGTTCCCCATAGCATACGCTGGGAAATCCACACTACCGCAAATACCATAAAATAAAAAGTATATCCACAACTCGTATGCAAAGCCCTAGAAATTGAGTTTTTGAGGAAATCCACCAACTGTGGAATCATTTTTGTGATTTATTTAGAAAATTGTGGACAAGACCCAACTTGGCTGGGAGATCCCAGCTCCCTAGCAGCCACGCGGACAGCTCAGCTGGCCACATTTTATTCTCAGAAAGGATTAGAGCCTAAAAGTGCGCTGATTTCCCTAAGCTCAGCTTCAGCAGCCAGGAGGGTGTAGCTCTCATATTGAAAGGCAAGTACTTTCAAGGAAAATTTACATCATAGTGAAGTTCTAAAGTCTATGCAATTATGTGAATTCAACTAGAGGGACTCAGCGGAATAGTCAGAACAATAATATATAAGAATGAGGGAAAAGATAGACTGAATTAATGTGTCAGACAAGGCCTCACCTGCTGTTCTACCCGCGTGGAGCTGGGGTCCACTCAGAGTATCTGCTCCCCAGTGCCTCTCAGCCCCCAGCGTGAATCAAATACTTAAATATCTATTGTTTTCATATAACATGGCTTCTCAAGGGAAGCCGACTTCTTCATCTGGTGCCTGGCCCAACAACTGACAACTTTCTACAACTGTCTCCATTTTCTCCCAGAAAATGGCTGATTGGAGTGATGGGGAAAAAACAGGCCAGCCTCCAGTGCAATGTTCCGCCAAAGATTTCCAAAGGTAATTACTGACCATCATCTGTGCTCCCCAACAAGGGTTCTGCTAACTCGAGAGCTGCGTGACCATGTCATATACCACTTCCCTGTCATCTCCGAGCAGAATAGAATCTAGTTTTGTCCATAGTCAGTCATAAATTTAGAACTGACTCTGCAATTGTGTCTAATGGGGACCGCAGATGATATGATCTGCAAAGTCCATCATCATCGTCACTCCATGCCCTCACTTCTCACCCTCTCCCCACCTCCCCCCGAAAAAGTCTAGAGAAAAAAGCATTTTTAATCTGATTGTATTATCTCAACCCCGGCTGGCTGGGGAGCAACCCACATGACCCAGCAGACCTCTCCTGTCGTGCCCGCTGCTCCCCTCAGCAGTGTATTTCATCACTCTGCCTGTTCTGTTCCCTGCTCTGTCTCTGGTGGATCCTCTCACCTCTGGCCAAGGAAATAAATATACAGTTCTCTCTCTCTCTCTCTCTCTCTCTCTCTCTCTCTCTCTCCTCTCTCTCTCTCTCTCTCTCTCTCTCTCTCTCTCTCTCTCTCTTTGTCTGTCTCTCTCTCGACTTTACCCCCTTACATACAAACTTTCGCTGCCCACAGCCTGATGTCCAAACACAAGGACCTTTGTCTGCTGGGCTCAGGGAGAGGTCCCCAAGGCAGTCTTCATTCTCACTCATCTGCAAGTCCACCCAGCACTGAACACAGATCTTGGCAGATAAGCCAGAGCTCAATGAATGAGAGGCAAATGCCATTCATTTATAATCCGTATAAAACACGGGTACCACATGTGCTAGACCCATAAAAAAAAAAACTTTTTTAACTTTTCAGTTCAGTTTTTTTTAACTTTTCAGGAGTTCAGTTTAAATCCTTACCAATTTGGAGCCCACCCTCCCACTCCCTCCACCCCCAGGCCCAACACACACACACACACACACACACACACACACACACACCCTATTTACAATGTAAAGCAAAAACTTTCAACCTTTTATGTTGTACCTCCGTGTCAGCTGACCTGCATGTCTCTCCTAAATCTCCCCCAAACTCCCCTTCAGATCTAATCTTTCTCCCTCTCCCTTCTCATCTCCCTTTCCAAATACAGCTTCCACTCTGTACAGTGAACTCTGAACTCTGAACTCTGACCTTGGGGATTCATCTTGCCGGTTTCAAATTTAGTTCTATTACTCTAATTGACATGTGGTAAGTGCTCAATAAATGTAAATTGTTATTTAAGTCCTATTGGCTTCTCCAATATATTTTTTTAACTTGGTCTACTTTCTCTTTAATGCAATAAGAAATGTATATTCATTTCCCAGGACTGTCAAAACAAATTGCCATCAACTTAGTGGCTTGAAATAATAGGAATTAATTCTATCATTGTTCAGGAAGCCAGAAGTTCAAAATCAAGGCATCAGTAGGGCTGTGATCCCTCCGGAGGCTCTGGAGAGATTTTGTTCCTTACCCCTTCCAGTTCCTGGGGGCTGTCAGCATTCCTGGACGTGGGGCTGCACTGTACCAATCCCTGCCTCTGTTTTCCTTGTTGGACCTTCTCCTTGTATCTCATCAGAACCTTTGTCATTGGATTTGGAACCCACACTGATAATCTGGGGTGATTTCATTTCCAGATCCGCAATTTGATCACATTTTCAAAGGCCCTTTTTCTAAATAAGGTCACATTTCGCAGGTCGGGGGGAGGGCTGGGTGGGTGGGGTCAGGATGTGAACTTATCTTATACAGGGGCCACCCTCAATCCAGTACAAAATGACACGGGGTAGTGGATGGTGGGCAGGAAGGGACTTCATGCTCCTATAATTCTTTTTTTTTTTCTTTTATCCTTGTCATGATGAATAAATCAAGTTAACAGCCAGCATCAGGTACTTGGAATGCAGTCGGAGAGAAGCAGATGGTAGAAAGTCACTGTCAACTTCTCCTTTTCTCTGATGCTCATCAACTCTTTCAATGAAGCAAGTTCGCAGCCGTAGGATACCTTTCTTCAAGAACGACCACATCCCAG